TTAAGTATATATATATTAAAATTAATAATTTTTTGTAAAGAATGCACGTCATTTTTAAACGTTGTTCCTTACAGGTGGAGCTGTAGCCATTAATTTAGCTACAAAACCAGAAAACTCTCAAAGAATTTGGTGTCTTATTCTTGAAAACACGTTTACTAGTATTCCTGATGTGGCTGCATTATGTTTTAGATTAAAATTTTTACAATATCTACCACTTTTTCTATTTAAAAATAAGGTACAATATTCTTTTGTAATTTAATATTTTCATATGATAAAAGTTTAATCTATTCACATTACATTACAGTATCTGTCCATTCTCAATATACGATCCGTAACGGTACCTACATTGTTAATCTCTGGTCTAGCGGACAAAATAGTGCCTCCGCATATGATGCAAGAACTGTACAAAAACTGCAAAAGTTCATGTAAAAGAATACTTTCAATTTCTAAAGGTACTCATAATGAAACGTGGTGTCAACCCGGGTATTATAAAAATATATGTAATTTCCTGAACGAGCTGAGGGAAAATCCTCCAGTGCAAGTGACGTCTAGTCACTGGCAAATAGATGACATATAATTAAAATTACAAAATTCATTTTATCTCCAAAGTGATAACTATATTTTGAAAATTGTTCAATACAAGGTCAGTACGTTTCAGCTAATAAAAAAACGTAGTTTAGTATAATTAAATATGTTATCAATTTTTATTGCGATGATCGATTTAATTACAAACATAATTTAGCTCATATGTGGGATCAATCTTCTACTGAAATATTTTATCAGAACATACATTAAGATATCAATATTGCAAAGGATGCAGTGTTTGAAATCATCGAATTATTATAATTCAAATTTAGTAAAATATCTGTCCCGATTAAAACAATTGCGAATAATCAAATAAAATCAGAAATCCTTCCAATATTTAAAATAATTTGCCGACATAGATGCAATATTAAACGACCGTTTGAATAGTCTTAGTTAACTATTTCCATCGAAAATGGGCTGTTTTTTTTTTTAAAAATATATTATACATAATTATATGGAGGATAATGTATTTATATGTGTGAATTTAGGAATATTTATATTTATTTCGATTTTTTGATAAATATATTGCTATGTATGTATGTGTACTGTGTGTTAAAAATAACATTTTATTTATTTTCGGTTTTCTTTCCGATAACATTGAAACTTAAAAGTAAAATCAAGCATATAATAGGCAAATTATAGGATACTTAAAAAGATAAAACATTTTTTTTTTAGTGACGAATCTGACATTGTTTGCTCTTTTATGCCATTATGAAATTTTAATCATGCACTTGTAAGAATCTTTTCAGTCTTATGGAATGTTAGGTGCTTGAATGAATAGTAATACTTAAAGAATAAATCAGTTCAAAGAACACACTTATAGAAATTCATAATTTCATTTTAAGCTTTTCGAAAGGCAATAAATGTAATTTGTTATTATTACATAAAATTTCTATTGATCCTCCTTTTTCTCATCGATATTCTTTGTGTCCAAATAATGCCTATAATTACTAAAATTACTAATGCAGTCATAGCTACTCCTACAGCAATTAGTAATCCAGGACTAGAATCAAATGTTACCACTTTGTTATTTAATATACCAGCGACGTTCATTGTAAGATTTTCATTAAAATTTGAAGCATTAATGCAGAAAATTTGATCCTCCCATCCATACCAGTGTACCATTCTCATGTTTGAGATTTGTGGAGGCCAAGCACACCTTTCAGAAGACATTGAAGTATATTGAAATAATTAGAATATTTTAATTGTATTTTGTTTCAGAATAATAAATTAAGGTTTAATAATAACTTGTTGAGATATTTACCTCAAATTATTTAAAAGATTCGGTTGTAAAGAATAGAGTTTTGGCATTAAATCACTTAGCATCCATTGCAATGAACAATTACATTTAAATGGATTTCCTTGCAGATTGATATTAAATGTTGTAGAAATATCATTGTGTGCAATTAAATGTTGTGCCACATAGGGAAGTCGATTATTGCTCAAGTCTAACTAATAATACAAAAAAATTATTTATCTATTGTTAAGTAATATTGTAAAGTGTAAAGTAAAACAGAAGAACTTACTGAACAGAGATTCATGTGTTCCAAAGCATCTTCATGAATGAAAGATAACATATTGTTATTGGATATAGTAAGATTAATACAATCTTTTGTTGGAGCTCTTAAATTTGTCAGGGTATCTTTGTCAACAGTTTGCAACATACTCATGTTATTTGCAACAAACGATTTTAATTGTAAGTCAGAATAAAGTGTCAAGTTTTGAATAGGATTTTTGCTGACATTAAGTTGAATTAATAACGGGAAATTTTTTATACATATTGCTTTAGGAATATGAGTAAAGTTATTGTCAGATATGTCTAAAATTTCCAAATTTTCAAACAAAATACTTGGAAAAGTTGATAACATATTTCCACTAACGTTCAAACGTTGCAGATTATTTGTCGTTAAATTTTCGTGTATTTCAGAAATTTTATTGTACTCAATATTTAATACTTTAATATGAGACAAATCATATGGTATTTCTGTTATTTGATTATATCCAAAGTATAATTCACTTAAAGATTTTGATAACATTTGTATATTTAATGTAGTAAGGAAATTGTTATTTATATAAATTTCTTTCAAAGAACTTAGATATGTTAAATTGCAGTTTTCCAAAGATAGAATTTTATTAAATGACAAATCCAAATATTGTAACTTTGATAATGATTCAGAGAACCCTTTGGGTAAATTAGATATATTATTATGTGAAAGATCAAGGGTACTAATTTGTGTTGTAGTTTTATTCATTCTATGCTCTACTGAATCAATATGATTATAACTGAGATTTAATGTCAACAATGTAGGAAGTACTTCTAATAATGAGTCATCAAAAGTTCTTAATACATTCTTAGAAAGATTTAAATCTTCAAGATTATTTAAGTCTATAAATATTGTTGTATATATTGTTCCCATAACATTTTCAGATAAATCTAAATTTTTTAAAGGCTTTAATTTGTTTAATAAATTTTTAGGTAAATTAATTATATTGTTGTTTGATAAAATAAGTTTGATTACCAGCTCTTTACTTACTGCAATATATCAAATACATTTTATTAATATTATTATTACCATAATTATCTAATAATTGATCTATATTTAATTAATAAATAATTGTAAGCCATTTTTTCAAGTTTTATTGTGTTAAAATAAAACAATTTTACTTACTTAAACCTGAGCATGAGCATGTTGAACATATTCCACACATAGCACTTTGTATCATGCATAAAAAAACACTTAAACACAAATAATAAATCATTATATTAGTTATATGGTTATCTGTGGTAAAGACTCTTTATACTTCAACAGTCACTACAAGATTACTATTACTCATACTTAGGGTGTAGTCTGTACTTAGCTTCATTTGTGATAACATATCTGATAACTATGTTTAACAGGTGAATGAGAATTCATTTCATCTATACTTGAACATATGTTAGATAATTTCAAGATAATATTAAATATTATAATTGCAATTAATAAATTTTGTATTATTTATTTGTAACACATAATTTTATTCATATTTTATATGTTATAATGTTACTTTAAATGATATATTTCAGTAAAATAAGCATTCACTTCACTTTAAATTATAGAATGTGATATAGAGGTGCTATGATTTTTTAAAAAAGGTCATTAAAGTTGTTTGTTTAGTATTTTTCTTTGCTTTTGCTTCTGGGTGTAATTCCTGTGCCACAGGCTTCTTTGGTTCTATAATTTCTGGTTCATCTTCAGAACAACTTTCATAAACATGTACTTTTTTTGTCACAAGAAAACCATCTTCTTCAAATGTTTTATCTACTCTCTTTAAAACCTTACGCTTTCCATTTTCAATTTTAACTTGTGGTGGAGAAACAGAATGTACTTTTACAGGAGAAACATTTTCAGGTGAGGGTGGTAATTGTTCTTTTTCTCCTTCATCATCAGATGTTTCTGTATCACTGGATTCACTCTGAACTATAATGCGTTTCCTTCTTTTTGTTGTATTATTAGTGTCTTTACTACGTTTACGTTTCTTTCCACAAATGTTCTTTGTTAGTTTCTTATTATTTTCTGAAATAATTTTCTTCTCTGTACTTTCTTTTTCTATAGAATTTGTATTTTTATTCTTTTCCAGACAATCTGTACCTAATCCTTGATTCTTGTTTTGTTGAAGAAAGCTATCAAGTCCACCCTTTCGTATATCTTTTTTCAAAGACTCAGATGCAACATCTTTAGATATTTGTTTTGTAGAATTAGAAAACTCTACTTCCATATATTTTGCTGATGGACTTTTTTGTTTATTAATAATCTTTCCAAATAAATTATTAAAGCCTTTGTTTTCAGAATTTTTCTTTTTATCAATTTGTTTTTTATCTGGACCCACATCTTGCTTTTCTTTGATTGATTCAAATATTGATGTTGTTCTTTCTTGAGGCACGGACTGAATTTCTCTTGATATAACACCCCAACGTAATGAGTGCATTTCTGCATCACTACGCTCATTGTTCTCAAGGCATTTAATTGCACTATATTTAATATCTCCATTCTCAGTATTTCCAAGTAAATGTATTTCAGGAAGTACTTTTTGAAGACTATAAATATGCTCACATACAACTTTATTATATTTTTTTTTTGCAGTCAATAAATCTTTCTCTTTTACAACTTCAATACGCATACCATCATCATGTAAAATACCCATTAATAAAAACGTACAATCAAAATTTTTCTGTTCTTTATATCTTTGCCAGAATTCCCATAAAATTTGTTTTGCAATATTAACATGGACTTCTAACTCTTTACTTAACCATTTATATGTGACCTAAAATCATTTTAAGTACTTAACATTTGAAAAATATTTTGGAAAACATAATGTTACACACAATTAATATAATATAAGATTTATATTTAAAAAATAAGAAAATCCCAGAGATTCCATAATCATATTTAACCAAGTTTGTAATCAGCACAAATAGTTTTAAACAGTTATAGAGTTCAACATTATCCAAACATCTTTTCTTAATAAATGCGCGCAATCTGCTTATGTACTTCAAGGTTACCAATTATACAAACGTTACTACGTTATATATAGCTAAGAAAACTTCCATATTTCCAAATAGTAATTTGAATTTTGAGAATAAACATATGCTAAATTAAAGTAACTTCCTTTAATTCCATTAATAATTTATTTTATAAATAACCATAATCGTTTGAATGTATATATGTGTAGATATTTAATGGTTACATAAATAACTTAATTCGTTATAACAAAATAGTTAAGCAAGCTGCAATATTTTATAATTTGTATTCACATGAAGGAATTTGTAAAATTAAATCTTGTAAAATATTGTAGTACAATAATTATATGGTAGTGGCAACACTACTTTAGTGAAAATTTTTTCAGAACACAAATTTTATCAAATAGAACAGTGAGCATTCGCATAACAAACAAAGTTAATCGTTGAACTAACGATTCCTCATGGTAGTTTATTATTTGCTGCAGAATTATTTTGTATAAACACTGCAGTATCTTTATGTAAAACCGAGAGAAAATAAGTATGGTCTCGGTGATGCAACCATTCATGGTGAGTGAACAATATTGGAAAGGCAAAACGATTTACCGGTTTTCTTCTGCTTTTGAAAATTTCATTTTCCTACTTTTAATGTAACATTTTGAAGACTAAATGACTGTCCGTTTGTATCATAGGATGTTGAGAGTTCAAGAAGTTACATCGATGAACTATACTCGTTGGATCCACAAAAATGCTTAGAAGCTATTATGTGAGTACAAATTGTACTTAACCTCTAAACTTGTTTACTAAAGGTTATTATTTATTAAAGTTACTGTAACATACGGTGTAAAAAAAACATTAACAAGGTAATATTACTGAGATCATCTCAATTTTTGCTATTTTTCTCTATTATTTTATTAACTTCTGCTTTGTTGAAACATATATGTCAACTCTAATTCATTCTTTTTTATTATTCTTAGATGTCTAAAAAATTCTGTCATTGGTAGTAATAGACAAAAAGGATCTGTAATAGCTCAAGGTGTAGTACCACGTTTATTACAACTTCTTGGGGATTCATCAAACAGAATTGGAGATAATATAAGACTTGAGGCTGCAGTGACTTTGGGTTCTTTAGCCAAGGGAACAGATCAACATGTGTTGGCACTTATAGATCTTGGTGTAGTGCCATTGCTTTTTCAGGTTTTGTTGTCAACACCAGTTTCAGAAATACCATTAGAAGGAAAACCAAAAGTAACAGACTTATTAAATGAAGCATGCTTACGTTGTTTGAGAACAGTATTTCAACATCCAGCAGCACCAGTTCATTCAATATACCAAGATCCTGCATTAGTGCCAAGATTGGTGTCATTAGCAAGTCAATCTGTCACTTGTCAAATTTGTGTAGCAACAATTTTAACAACAACATGTAAGGTAAGAGAAATGGTAAAATCAACTTCAGTTAACTATATTATTCTATATTATTCTAATTTCTATTAGACAGTAGAGGAGCAGAATGCCTTGTGCAAAGGAGGTGCAGTTGAAATATTAGTAACACAAATAGATTCTCCATTATATGATGTACTGTTGTCAGCTTTAGCTTGTTTGGCAAATATGTGTTACAAAAATCAAAGGGCATGTGCTAAGGTTATGTCAGTGACTACCACTAATACCCCAGAGGGTAAATTTGTACCTATAGCATTAGGACCATTAATGGGTCGCGAGAAAAGCTCCTCAATTCAACTTGAAGCTGCAAGATGTATTACATACATGCACAGAGTTGGAATTTTATCATATAAAGATCCAAGAGTTATATACCGTGCATTACCTTGTTTGGTGCGGCTCTGTCACAGTGATTATCCACCTCGTGAAAGAGTAATTGCAGCAGAAACTTTGGCTTTTCTTACTGAAGTTAACACTGAATTACAGCGTTTAGCTTCCATTAGTAATCATTTAATTCCTACACTTGCAGAATTATTACGACCTCACCCACAAGTAAGTGTATTATACCTATAAGTGTATCAATTTCGTATGTCTATTACTGTTAACATCCTCAGATACAAGATGCAACATTGGCACAAGATATGCGACAAGCAGCATTCAGGGCATTTGCATCTCTCGGTGCTAACGATGAAGATATTAGAAAACGTATTATTGAGACAGAAAGTCTTATGGAACAGGTGGTGGCAGGTCTTCAAGACCCTGGAGGTTCTCATGTACGTTTAGCTGCAGTTAGATGTCTACATTCACTTTCTAGAAGCGTTCAACAACTCCGAACAACTTTTCAAGATCATGCTGTTTGGAGACCACTTATGCAGTTATTACATGGAGCAGACAAAGGATTAGAGGGTAAAATAGAATAGTATATTTATCGTTGATGAAATAAGAAATGTATATTCCCTTTTTATTTAAAAAAAAATGTAATTTTAACACAATCGTGACTTTAAAAGATTTTTCTATTTATTTGTACATTTTTTATAACGTGAGATATATAAATTTAGAACGAAAAAAAAAAATAAAATTATTTTACTGATTAACAATTACACTATGTTGTTAATAGTGTTCACTTTCATTAATTATTAATGTGATTGTACTATGTAGGTAGAGGCGAAAGCGAAGTTGATTTATTAACTGTTGCCTCGAGTACTTTATGTAACTTATTATTGGAATTTAGTCCAAGCAAAGAACCAATTCTTGAATCCGGAGGAATAGAGTTACTATGCTCACTTACAAAACGGTCTACACCGGCATTGCGGTTAAACGGAATCTGGGCTTTGATGAATGTGGCTTTTCAAGCTGAACAACAAGTAAAATTACAGATTCTACAATGTTTGGGAACCGATCAAATCTTTTGTCTTCTGGCAGATCAAGATATACCAGTTTTAATGAAGACATTAGGTTTATTACGAAACTTGCTCTCTACGAAGGCACACATAGATCGCATAATGGGAGAACACGCTGCTCACGTTATGCAAGCTGTCATATTAGTTTTAGAAGATCCAAGACATCCAGCGGATGTAAAGGAACAAGCTCTCTGTATTTTAGCAAATGTAGCTGACGGTAATCGAGCAAAGGATAATATTATGGCTAATGAAGATGTGCTTAAAAAACTTATGTCTTATATGGTTCGTAAAAAATATATTCTCTTTTTTACTTTCAATTTTATTTTTGATGTTTTTATTTATTAGAATAATACAACACACCTTCACACCTCATGATTTTTATATAATATACTTATTACACTTCAATAACATTTTATCGAAGTAAAAATCAAAAAGCAAAAATCTATAATATCTATGATATCGATTTAGATGCATCACAATGTAAAGCTGCAAGTTGCAGCAGTTTTTTGTGTGTGCAACCTAGTCTGGAGGGAAGAACCTGGTGCTGCGCAGCGGCAAACACGTTTAAAAGAATTGGGTTTTTATCGTATTTTACAAGAATTACGTCATAGCAAGGATCTTCAATTATTTGATAAGTATGACAAATAGTTTGTTAACTTAAATTTTACTCGTGCCTAAAAGTGTCGGAAAATTATTCTTAAACATTATATTGTAAACTATAATTCAGTAATATTTTAGATTGCAGTACAATCAATATAAAAATATTTTCTTAGGAATATTTCCAATTTTTAATATACATTTGTCTTGTTCCAGGGTCAGAACTGCCATAGCACAATTCTATGATGCCTAAATTTCGAACGTGTTACCGATGAAAGTTAGGTTTTGATTTAGAGTTCTTTTATACGTGAAATATAATTATATTTTGGTGTTAACACTGTGATTCTGTACTTTGTTAATGCATAAGCATTTTATATTTATATAGAAAAGATACAAAAACAATATCCCTGACGATGTAATCTGTTTATGTTGTATTTATTTTATTTAAAAAAGAAAGCAGTATGCAATATTTCAGTATATTAAAAAACGATATAATAATTGTATTATACATTTTTTAAAACATGAATTGTTTGATACAATGATAATGTTAAAGAAATTGATTTAAAGGTTTCAAATTGTAAAATGACAACAAATTACAAGTATTCGTATGATATACTTTAACATTAAATATACTTTGAACATATTTTGTTATAAATGCGAGTAGGAAAGTTGATTATTTATTATCACGAAAAGAATGGTTTTTAGTGTACTTGAAAGAAGTACATGACTAGCACTCTTACAAACTATCATCAATTATATCTTTGGTATGAAGCTGGAAAAGATATTTACCAAATTTTAATATTTTTGATTCCTACTATCTTGCTAGTAGATCTAACAAAACTGGAATGTCAAAATTGAAATGATAAATACGAAATATCAGTGCGAATGTAAGAAATAGATTATGCTCATAACGTTATCTTATTTGAAAAAAATAAAAATATCTCTTCTGACTGTTGCCATAAATTGCAACTAATCATGTGTCATGATAATACATTTTTAAGCACTTTAAAATTAAACGGATGCATTACTGTCACTGGAAAGGTTTTCCATTGGATTGTTAGCCAAAGGATCCAGTTCAGCAAATAAATCCAACCAGGAATTACCCTTTTGTTTGCCAGTCTTATTCTTTTTCTGGATCAAAAATGTAATAAAGATTGATTAGTATTAATGGTGCTGAAGTAATTTTTAATATAGGTAACATTAACATAATTAACTTTTTATAAAATACTATTTTTTTAAATGCTTCTAATTAGGAAACAATTAATAATTAATAAATATTGTTAACCTTGACTTACTTTGTCACCCATGTTAGTAGTAGGTACACTCTTTTGTCCAATGCCAAGTGCTGCATCACCTAAACTTTGTTTCAAAATACTTGGTGGTAAAAATGTGTCGTTCGATATTATTTCCCATTCGTTACCAGTACTTGGTTTATCACCAAGAATATCATTTAAAAGAACCATATTTTCAGATGTAAGGGATTGTAGAGATTGCTCTCCTGAATTTTGTTCTTCTAAAGAAGAAAAATCTGCCAAATTAAAATTTGTGTCAGATTTATTAAATATGTCCATTGACAAAGTTTGTTCATCAAACTTTTTATCAAAGTCCAATTCATCCATTCCATCATTGTGAGGGATATTATTATCTAAAACTAAATTTTCAAAAAGTTGATCAAGATTTTCTTTATGCTCTGTGCTAGAAGTGGATTGTGTGATTTCGTTTCTTGAAGAGCTAGAATTTATATCCAATCCTTCCAACCCTAATATGTCTTTTGTTTCATATTCAATATCTAACAATTTTTCATCTTGTTTATTGTTTTCATCTGTATTCAGTGTGGTTGGTTTAACTTCTTCAGCTTCCTCAACATTATCATGATAGTCCATATCAAAAATTGATAATCTGTAATAGAAAATATGTTATTAGCACACTAAATATCTGTCATTCACACTTTTTAACTAATATTCGTAACTCACTTGTCTTTTTCATCAAGATCTTCATCACCTCCAGTTTCTTGAGCTAATTTAGTGGAAGGTTCAGCGAGTTCTCTTACCACCATGAAATCGTATCGTTGATAGCCTTTAAAACTGCTTGCTATTGTGGAATATGCTTGTGCAGATTTTTCGGAAAAATTTAAAAGTGTACTTTGATATAAAACTAAAGCATGACTAAACATGTTACATCTTGCTGCTGCCAGTAGATCTACTTTTTGAAGACAATCTAAAGCCAAGTTATCAAAGGCTATTTTACCTCTATATTAATAGAAAAATTATAAGTTTAGGAAGGTTTAAATACATACACCATTTAAATATTAATGTATAAGAACCAGTACATACTGTCTAACACATGTTTGAACTTTACGAAATCTTTCCAACTGTTTTGATGTGTCAGGATCTAGCTCCTGAGATATATTTTTCATCCATGACAGAGCTGCTCTGTATTCTGTACGAGCTTTTTCCATTGCTTGAACCTTTTGTAATGTATCTTCAATAGCTCTCTGTCTAAATGTTTCTACTTCTTGATACAATCGACCCAGTGGAGCTCTTAATGCAAGTCTTTGTTGACCAGAATATGACAATGATTTTCCAACTGCTATCATCATCTTGCCAGCTCTAGTTTTATCTTGCTTACCAGCATCTTTAAGGAACCGTCCCATTGCATTTTCTTCTTGTGCAAGATCTGTGTAACATTTTGCACTAATAGTTATTTTTATTATCTTTAAATTTTTTTTTGCATTAAACCCTATTGTACTATGTTTTATAATTTAAACTTACTGCACAACCTTTCTTGATATTTGTCAATAATTCTTTGCAAATAAGAACAAGATTCTTGAATACTACGAAATAGTTCTAACTTAGCATCTAATTCTGCATCAGATGCTACTATACATTCATCTTCTTTTTTTCCTAATTTCCGTGATAAAGCTTGTTTTGTAACCCAAAAATGATGTTGCACTTTTGTAATAGTAGATTCATCATGCATATTGGTCCTTTGTACCCAACGATCAAAAGTGTTTCCTGATATACCTGGTCCATTTCTGTTACTAAAAATTACAATAGGTAAATATAATATTTGCAAGAAACGTTAAAATCAAAACATGATGATTAACACATTGCTACTTTAAATGCGTGCGTGGGTGGGTATCTTATCTATTACGAGCGATACGCGATTCTATATTACGCAAATGATATATATTGTATTTTACTAAATATAAAACTGTTTAAATAATCATAGTTTTATAAAAATCATAAAAACACTTACTATGTATTCATGTTGGAGGACGTTGATTTAACATGTAAATATGGTTAATGCTTACAACTAAAAGACACAAACGATTTCAAAGTATGATTTAAAATAATAAATCACATATAAATATCATACATTTTTAACGCACATGATTAATACTTCTAAATGAATAAAAATAGGTTTCTATACTTTAATACTGACAAAAAGACTGACACATTCTTCTTCTGTCAACTTGACAGATCGAGCTTGTACATGTACAGTTTATATACTATTGTTAATTGTCCTCCTAAGAAGTTTTTAAGGTGATATTTTAATGAATACGACTTTATAGAAAAAGCAACAACAAGGCGCATCAACAATGCTATAAATGTGAGATGATTATTAGAAAGAAAAGTATATAATTCTTTGAAATAATAATTTGTCGATATTTTACGAAATAGTATTGATGAGTGCAAAAAAAATTAAGTTCTAATGAAAAATAATTAATTATGTTGATAGTGAGTTTGTAAAGTTTAAAAATAGATTTATTTGAAAAATGCAACTGTAAATTTTATGAATGATAGTTTAAATTATTAAAAATTAATTATATCCTTTAAAAGATATTAATTATTATACTGAACTGAAAGCTATAAATATATTTCAAAAAAATTGAAACAAGTATCTTAGATCAATTACATGATAGATTCAGATAAAATCAAAATTGTTTTTAAATTTATAACAGTTAGTTACCGTTTTAGAAAAATAATTGATCTATTCTTATGTTTTCTAAAAATGTATAAGGTAAATTAAATCTTAGGATGTATAGTTATAATTCATATAATTCTTATTGGTATAACTTGATTAAATAGCTATACTACAAGCAATGTTCCTTTATCATACATAAATAATTTACGAATTTGTCTTATTTTTTATTAGTTAGCAAATATTAAAAAGAGTTAAGTTGTTCCATCTGCCGTTTCTAGGTCGCCGTGACGAGCATAGATTATGAGCAAAAACAGCAAAAAGGCAATGGCGGCTATTCTTTAGACAGTCACCAAATTTATTATGAAAAATTTTGGAAAAATGTGATCTACGTGTCGGTTCAACAAAAACAAATTTGAGGTATGTGTTGATAGTTTTTTCATGGAATTTGCAATCGTGATGGTCACTGTACTTAATACATTCTGAGAGATACCACATGCAACCACATGTGGATTTGGAATTAACGAACACTTTCTTATAAAAACATAACTAACCATGGAGTACAGTTATGTTTATTTTTACGAGTGTTTTAAACGTTTAGCATTGGATATATCAAATAGAACGAAAAATACACAGCAAAATTTTGTCTTATTTCTACCGCGTTTATGCTGTACTACTCTTACATCGAAAAATAATAAATTACGCTAGTAGTTACAGCATAATTTATACAATATTTATGATTTGTAGAACGATGATACGCTAATTTTATTTTGCATTTATGTGCATATGTTTTAAGGTAATAGTGTAAATAATATTAAGTATTTCTAAGTATGTTCAATATAGTGTATGTCAATAATAAAAGAATAGGAGGTTCCAACCTGTTATGAAACAGACCTCAATGTTTAGGAATGTATATTGTATTGTTATCATATAAGTTATTATTTAAATACATAGTTGTAGTTAGTAGAGTATATTTTTTATATTTTTATGTATTAATGTAATAGTAGTATTATATTAGAATAAGTACTGTGTCCCTTTATTTTGTTTACAATTATGTTTATTTCTTTTATTTCAAAATTCAGTCCTTATCCTTATATGTTTATTGGATCATCAGATAATGAGTGTTTAATATTAATTCTTGGTAGCTCAATGTTGTGCAACATGAATTATCCTATAGGTGTGGCCTGAAGGCGGAGGGATGCTATTGCCTGCAGAAAAGAGATGGCACACAGTATGTGTAGACAATGGCTGGCAAACAAATGAAGCAGTTACTAGGTTCAATGAATAACGAATGGTGGTTAATAACAGATCAGTTAGGAAAGATCGTCGGCAGGCAGGAAGGAGTAAACAATCGAGTGTGCCTAAGTAATGAGCGAGACTCGGCATCATCTTCACTCGGTTTCGGACTTATATGCAGCCGACGAGATAGAAGTACTTCTCTTAGAAGAGATTCGTGACCTGGAATTACCAGCCTCTGCATATTCTAGACCTGAGGACATTCAGGACTTTGACATTGGTATGGCAGTAATTTGTATAGTGCAAATTCCTTGTAATATAGATTAATAAGAAATGTTATTTGTTTTTGAAAATCATGAAGTATTAAAAAAGAATGAAATATATGAATGCATACATTGCTTAATATTATATTAATAGCAGGCAGCAGAACAGGGGAGCAAATTGGCTCCCAACCTTTGGAGCTGGATTCACCAGGGGTCCATTCAACAGTCCATTCATGGGACTCACATGCTAATTATCATGGTCATTATGGCTATGGTGACCACCATGGCTCTTCCTCTAATGCTTTGGCCTGGCCAAGAGCAAGTCATTTGGTTCTATATTGTGACATACAGGGGCACCTTAAAACAGCTATTGGTGTTGTTAGACTTTTACTACTTGTAAGTTATACAGATTTCAGTATTTCCTATTTATCAAATTCTAGAACAACAAGTTAAGTTAAATTGTTTGCATAGATATCGTCTGCAGCGTGTTTGGCAACATTATGCAGCTCCGGCACTGCCAAGGTCAGCTTATTTATGTTGCCTTTAGTCGGGCGGCTGCGTTTCATGATCTTTGTAGCAGTTTTCTGTTTTTTGGTCACTGCATTGCTCCTCTTCCTTGATATTTCGCATGTTATCTATGTTTTTCCTTTCAATTGGGCTAAATTGGTAAGTAATCAACAATGTACTAATATTTTATTCTCAATTGATGTTAATATTATGATTCAAACTGTAAACTTTTTAATGTACATATATATTTACTAGTAATTTAATATTTTCACACTGATATATCTGATAAAATCCACCTTTTATAGAATGCTTGGGTATTCACTGGTATAGGCTTATCTTATGCCTTGAGTAGTGCATTATTAGCATGTGCTATATGGGAATATCACAGTGGCGGCTGGGTGCCAAAACGCACTCGTTCTCAGTTGTCTGCCGCGGCAGCACTTGGACTATCATGTGCTCTTTTAGCATTCTTACTTTCATGGATACATAGTCGCAGTGGATCAAATTGTAGAAGTCCAGATAGTCGTAATCATACGCCAACTCAACTTTATAAGCCTGTTGACAATTCTTCCTCTTCTGGAGTAAGTAATTTTATTTTTTGTATCAGCTTGTAAATAGATTTAAATTCTTATCAACAAATGTAATGTTATTCTTCCAGGTTACTCTCAAAGAGCGCAGTCCTAAAAGGCCTGCTTCATGGGTTGTGAAAAATCAACAGTCGAAGAAACAAAATGCAGACAGTGATACAAACACAAATAACGGTCATCACGATAATCATGCCAAATATAAGCACGGTGCTAACAGAAAAGATCATTGGGCTTCTGCGCGGGAACATTTCTTACCTTCCCAAGAAAATGAAAATATTCAGAGAGATGATATTGATATTGAAAGGAAAAGAAGAAGACGAAGAAGAGACGGTGATAGTAGTTCAACAGGTGACGGAAATTTAATAAGTACCAAAACCGATAGTGGTCATATTACAGAAGAGAAAAAACCTAGACGGGTACCGCGAAAATTACCTCTGCAGTCGATAGATCAATCCCGACCTTGGCCTGGTGCTGAGCACAGAAGCAGTGGTTCTATGCAAGTTAGAAATAAAACTTTACAAATGCCAGTGAACAATAACGCACAGGACTATTGTGGCATAGATGAATCTAGTTCAATGCAAGTGACTCAAAATGGTTTCCACTGGGAAATGGAATGTACATCCAGCAACAGTATGGAAAAAGCAGCAGAAATAGCTATGGATCGCACTGCCATGTGGTCTGGACAATGGCATCCACCACCTGATGACGTTCAACCTTGTTCTAGCAAAACTATTGATCCTTACAGCTTTGCCTGATTGAATTTGAAAATGCATAAAGATGTCTTAGAAAATATTGGACTCATTGCAGTGAATGACTTTTGGGAACAGTTATATAATACAGAAGTTTCCCCTGGAACAATAGTTTCATAATATCATATTGAACTTTCTTTCACTGTTTATAGTTAAAAATGAACAAAAAAACGGAAACAATATTTTATTGTTTTATCAATGAAATATTTATGTTATTTCTAAATGAATTTGCCTAAATTGAATGTGTTTAAAATTACATATATAAAATCACTTTAATGTTAAAAGTAGTGCACAGTGACCACAATGTCTCTGTTTTATCATCTTTTATGTCTGTTTCTTCTTCTCTGTGCATAAAACAAAATGTAAGTTTGAAATTAAGTTATTAATCAGTTACTTGATACAAGTGCAAGTAAAGTTCTACTCCACATTTAATGAAAAGGCTCTATGTTATAATCAAGGTTACGGGACAATGTTATATCTAAACAGTTAAGAATCCTGTATAAAATGATCGTTGCCTTGTACATTGTGCTGCCAAGAAGATAATTTCTCTTTAGTTGTCAATTTTTGACATTTTGCATCATACAACCAGACTGCCCGATTTTGACATACAGATAATGTCGTTTCATTCCAATTATATACCAAATAATAAATCTAAGTATTAACGGGATTATTTGTAAGTATAGCTTACATTAGTAATTAAACATTAAAATATTTGTTTATTTATTATTTTTATTGTATTTTAATGCCAACATATTCTTTTTCCATGCATACTTAATAGTCTACTGATGCTGATAAGAAATTGTATATAATTAGACTATGCTATTAATGTATCAACGTTTGCTTAATTGAAAAATTAATATCAGTCTACCTTCAAGTTGTCATAAATTAGTATGCACGGAATAAAGTACTTAAATTATGCTATTTTAATTATTTTTTAAAACAACATTATTATTGCACAGAGATGGACATAAAATGAATTTCACAAATTCAGATTATAGTAAAAGAAAAAATGATTTTTTGTAATTGTATTGAAATTTAATTTTTTTTTTAATGTTTTATACATGAATGATTGAGTTTTAGATGATTATGCAGTCTGGTAGTTTAGAAAAAGTCCATCTCTATTTTTGTAAAAGATATAAGCACTATTTTCAATTACTATATGTAATTTTGAGGCAGGGAATATAACAAGCAGCAGCGCTGTTGCATTACTTATTTACTTTAATGAAAATTTGAAATCATTTCTAGTCCAGTACTCTTGTACAACCTTGTCTCTTTACTGATTCATCAAATTGAAGAGCAAAGTAATTTTTAGTACATACATATCGTGTTAGAGGTACAATTCATCTTGAAAACTATCAGAAGTTTGCGTTTCCTGACCGATCGGTCCTTGGAATCTCTTTTATCGTATAACAGACGATACATGATGATTGCACGAGGACCTTTATTTTCTTTCAGTTGATTAAGACTATTATAATCACACAAACATGAACAAAATAACTAATTTCGACTAGAGTTATAAGTGACAGCTACTTTGTCTTTTGATACAATATTAGAGTATACACCCGAATCAGGCATCTAATTACATGTGGCGTGTATAACGCGTCAGTTGTCTAATCAATTAATTAGCATAAGGAAAAAAGTGCGTGTTCATATAGGATCATAAAAAAAAGAGAATAGTATATACGAGGTCTGACGTAAAAAAAACAAGACTGACCCTATAACTCAAAAACAAACTACGGAAAGTGAATTACAAATACGTAGCTTCTAAATCTATTCTAACTTGCAACATTGTAATAAGGTTTAATGTGGTAATCCCATTCAGTTGACGTCTATGCGTGATTAAATGTAGTCGCATTTCTAGTGTTGATTTGGAAAATAATGGATTGTAAAAGTGAACAACGAATTAATGTCAAATTTCTTGTGAAGCTAAAGAAATCTGCGAAGGAAATCATTTAGCTATTGACTATGCGCGTGTCTTTGAATGATATTAACGGTTTTCAAGCAGTAGAGGATGCGTGAAAAATATGAACGCCTAGGGTGTCTGCGCATAGTAGTATAGACACCAACATTCAAAAAGTGTATGATGTGATTAGAAAAGACCAAAGATTAAGTGTTCGAGTAGTGGCTGACAAGGTTAATTTGGATAGAATGTGTACGACGCATTTTAACAAAAGAACTAAATATAAAAAGTTTTCGCGAAAATCGTGTAAAAAAAATCCTGTCCTAAAAACAAAACGAACGGAACAAGGAATTGTTTTTAGCTAAGAAAAACAGTTGTGCTTGTATACCTTTCCTATTCGTCAGATTTAACTCCTTGCGATTTCTTTCTCTTTCCTAAAATCGAGTATGTGCTCAGAAAACCCATTTTTTGTCAGTAGAAGAAGTAATAACAAAGACAACATATGGATCAGTGTATTAAATCAGAAGGGGAGTATTTTGAAGGTGATCATAAGTAATAATTGGATGAAATTTGTAAGTAAAAGAAGTTCTAAGAACAGTCTCCTTCTTTTTATGTCGAACCTCGTATTATGGTAGCTTCGTTGTGGCAAATATTGACAATGTTGTAATTTGATTTTCTTAAACACAACGAAGAAATAAATGTAATTTTTCTTATACATGGTACATACTGGTGTACTGATAAAGTGTTTAAAAATGTGAATAGATTTCATGATAAAAATGTTGGGTGGAAATGTTAAATGGTGCAAGATATTTAGCGTACAAGTTTAACCAAAATGATAAAAAAAATGTACGGACACTGCCAGAAGAAGTATAACGCTCTTTGAGTGTCATGTATGTCGAATAACTTTGTTACTTTTCAATAACTTAGTATTGGAGGCTTTACCTCGCTACAATCTGCAATACCTCATAATAAATGAATTGTTAAACTTATATTTAGTATGTGGATCTACAACACTGTTTAATATATTTCTGTACAAACTTTAACTGAAAATGCTTCAAATTATAGCACAAATATCAATGAAGATTGAAATTAAGTTTGAACTTCAAATATTGCATTTCATTATAGAACTTAAAGAAATAACAAAATATTACTGTTTAAACGAGGTGCAAATCTATTTCACTTTTGTAACAAGATTGTTGATTCTCTGATAAACATACTTTTCCTTTACTTTTTATAAATAATGTTGATTGGAAAATAATTCTTTCATTAATTATGGAACTAGTTATTAAAATTCGTATGAATTATCTAAAAGTTTCTTTTATTACTTATTCTTCCTTCCAATCTTGTGACCATAAATTTTTATTTCTTGTATTGATTTTCATTACGAGTATTTTCTTTAAAAAAATACGGTTCTACGTATAAATTTATGTGTTCGAGCCAGTTCTTCATGATTACCGCCAACATCATGCAGCCCTGCATTAGTGGATATCACACCAGAATTAGTGTACGTGAACGTACACGGGACTTTGTGTTTGCAGTGTCGCGGTTTGGTACGGTAGGCATTTATTTGGTCTAAATACGGAGGGGGATACGTTATCATCAGGTTGTTAAAGTTGACAAATGCTGGATTAAGCCTCACAAGTACAACTCCCTCTAGTGTTTTTTCCGTTTTAACCCTAAAGTGAATAATGTTATACGGGGTTTTTCTAATGTTATTACTAGCTATTGTTTCAGCGGGTACTTCAGAATTTCGCGCATCTTATCCGACATATTTGGAACTGGCCCACCGCATACTTCATTAATCTGCGCCATCTGGTGAATCAAATAATCAAACGCACGATAAAAAAGACTCAAGTATTTCTTAC